GGATGTAACATCATCATCGCACCTCACAGTCATCGGTCTGCGCTGTGCAGGCATACCAGGCGTACAAAGCACTACATAGTTCCGTCGCTCACCTACCCACATTCCAGTTCGCCAACAGTAATTTCCTCACGCGGCAAGCTGTTAGCAGCCACATTCGAGACCTTCTCACTCACGCATCTGTACCAGATGTTAACCGTTACACTACTCACAGTTTCCGCAGTGGTGCAGCCACGACAGCTGCCGACGCAAATCTTCCGGACTGGTTGATCAAGGCACTGGGCAGGTGGCGCAGCGACGCCTACCAGACGTACATTCGCACACCCCCCAGCATCATCCGCTCAGTTCCGGGTCACTTGTCACTTGCTCTTCCTTAACTGTAATTTCGACATTGGTCTTGAGATTTCATTTCGTTTTCGTTACATGTATTTGCAGTGTATTTAGTTTAATGTTTTATCGGTCAAACCATGCTTTGTTTTATCCTATCGCGATAGACTTTGTAACACATCATCCTGCCTTTAAATTTGGGGGTTTCCACCACAGACCAAGCAGACTTTACACGGGTACCCACGCTGTCCATCCCCCTGGGGTTGTGAGTGTATCTGCAGGCTCCCGCCAGGGGGACGCCAGCCATGACGCCCGCCTGTACAGTCTCTGCTGGTGGAAGGTTGCAACCAGGTACCACGCGCTCGGCGTCATGATGCAATTCACAGGCGAGTCGCATCATGGAGCTGTTCGCTGCGACGCCTGCGTCTGCAATTCGCTCCCCCTTCCACTTTTGCCAAAACCTTGTGTCTTGTGTCATTTATTGAAGCATTAATAGTATGATTATGAATATAATTTATAATCTGTGTTAATGCTCAATTATGACATGCATTGACCAAGCTGACATCCCCCTTTCATATTTTGACACCTCCCATGCCACATTGTACTTCATGCAATATTTGCTCAAATTTCGTCCTTCAGTCGGATTTACATTAATTAACACCAGACTGTTCATTCGCTTATCCGTGCTCGCATCCTCTTCAAGCATCAGTTCATTTTGCCGCACCGTACGATACACATCGTCTCAGCAGACCTCCCACCCACCCATTCATGCAAAGGTCTCTATATACCAATTTCTATACCATTACCGATCTCACTCAAGTGTAACTCATGTTTATCTGCTCATGAACAACCTTAGCAATAAACAGGAAAGGGGGTTTCCACCACAGACCAAGCAGACTTTACACGGGTACCCACGCTGTCCATCCCTCCTGGGGTTGTGAGTCTATCTGCAGGCTCCCGCCAGGGGGACGCCAGCCATGATGCCCGCCTGTACAGTCTCTGCTGGTGGAAGGTTGCAACCAGGTACCACGCGCTCAGCGTCATGATGCAATTCACAGGCGAGTCGCATCATGGAGCTGTTCGCTGCGACGCCTGCGTCCGCAATTTGCTCCCCCTCCCACTTTTGCCAAAACCTTGTGTCTTGTGTCATTTATTGAAGCATTAATATATATATATACATATACATATATATATATATATATATATATATATATATATATATATATATATATACCAGCAGTTCGACAAACAAGCAAATATATATATTTTAACCATGAGTGACTTATTTTCATTTCAGAGAATTCTACTTGGTCGTTGATAAACGTACAAGGTAACGCTCCCACCGAGCGAGGGTGCCACACATTTACCGCTCACAAAGACAAGGTATGACCGTGTCATGGTGCTCATCACATTATAACATTGATATTGCGATATGTGATAATAATAATGTTTTGAACTCTTATTCACATTTGGACTTTGATTACAAAGTAAAGTTATATAGAACAAGTAAAACACATAAACAAAATAAAAATGAACAAATTTTTGATTGGGAATGAGTTTATAATGTGATCCTTTTGTTTGAAACAAGTATAGATTAATTTACTGATTTCCCTGAGTTTATTGTTTTTGTGTGTGTTAGTAAGGTAACCAGTTTATCACTCACTCATTGACAGGGGCACTATGCAGACCGATATTTTGTGCATCCTAGAACAATTTAAATATGTTTCCAAAACAAACACCATGATATGATTTCAGTTGCTACAATAAAAACAACTTTCTGGAAGATTTAAAAAATATTTCTTGGGACAAACTATATATGATGACAATTAAAACCCTTAAGCCGTTGAAAATATCTGCATGGCAACTTCCTAAATATCTTGTGCTGAACAGGAATTTTTAAATGCAATTAAATCTTTAAATCACCAAAAGGCCATTGGTAATGAACATATTTACCAGCAGTTCGACAAACAAATTTGTTATAACTGACCTATTGGCCCATACATCGATTATCAATTATTCTGTAAACCAAGGAATTTCTGTGAATCAGGGAAAAAGAAATTCTTATTTTTGTCATTATATTACAGGCTCCTTGCAAATAAGTACTCCCTACTGAGTAACCTTAACAACCTTAAATTAATATACTGAATTATGGCCAATTATCTTGATGGAATTCCTAACCACAAACTAAACTAGTATAATCAAACAAACGTAGTGGTCTAGACGCAATTATTGGTTATTACCCCGGTACTAATATGACTAATTTAATAATACTATTCCTGTATTGAAAATAACTATACAACTATCAAAAGGTACACTTTAGCTTCAGTTTTGTTGTTTTGGGGCTCTGAAAGCATGGTATTCCATTTATAGATATTGTTCCTGACCAAAGCTTGTTAGTCCCCGTTCGAACGAAGTCCGAAAACGGGGACTTATAATTCGGTCTCCGTCCGTCCGTGCATCCGTGTGTCCGTGCGTCCGTGCATCCGTCCAGAGTCATATCTCAGAGTCCCTTGGACCGATTCCGTTCATTCTTTGCATGTGCCTAGTACTTTATGTGGGACATATGCACATGCAGTGGTTTAGCGATTCGATTCAAAATGGCCGACTGGCAGCCATCTTGTTTTTTGAAAATGTCGTATTTTGGACATGCTTTGTCAGTTTTCATTCAAATTTACTACATAGATCATACATGTTAGGATACATGTCCCCGACCGTCCATGAGTTCCTGAGTCTGTCCGTCCGACCGTCCGTCCGTGTGTCCGTCTGTCCCTGCATCAGTCTATCCAACATCATATTTCAGAATCCTGTGGACCGATTCCGTTCATTCTTTGCATGTGCCTAGTACCTTATGTGGGACATATGCACATGCAGTGGTTTAGCGATTCGATTCAAAATGGCCGACTGGCAGCCATCTTGTTTTTTGAAAATGTTGTATTTTGGACATGCTTTGTCAGTTGTCATTCAAACTTGGTACATAGATTATACATGTTAGGATACATGTCCATGATGGATCAAAGATGGTCGACTGGCAGGCATCTTGTTTTTGTTTTTTTATGGCGGTAGTTGGACGTGCTCTGTCAGTTTTCATTCAAATTTGGCACATACATGTACTTTATACATGTTAGGATGCATATCCATGACAATTTGTTTCAAAATCTGGTCAAGGATGGCCGATTGACAGCCATCTGACTTTTTGGCCTTACTACTATATTTCCACAATTTATGTACCATTTTCATTCGTATTTGGCACATACATCATACATATCAGTGTGTTTCATAATCAGATCAAAGATGGCTGAATAACGGCTGTTTTTATTTTGGCCATATTACTATGACACGAAACACGTGTTTTGATGTAAATAAACAATCTGTTGTATACG